AAGGTATTCAGAAGTCATTCGGAAGGTGACTAGCGATCACCGGAGTACCGACTCAAAACACATTGTTTCATTTCCACCGCGCGTAGCGGAGAAACATTTTTTTTTTTTTAATACTTCCTACGCAAGGAAGTTAATTTGCACACATAATTCTATGTATGTACATACATATGTATATGAGCACATGTGCGACCGCTAGATCTTTTAAGATGATTTCAAACCTTTTATGGTAAATTTATAAATTTAAAATGAATTACCTATACTTATATTAATTATTTGGATAATAATACAAACTTTATTATATATTTTTAATGATATTATGGAATCATCATGAAATACATACATACATACTTATGCACATATATACTAAGTATATGCTTTGATACCAAATAAGTATATACGGATCATATGTACATATATAAATTATGTGCCGAGTCAGTTGCGCATAGAAAATAAACGAATCTCTAGGCGTAAATTTGTTTACAGTGGAATTAGCATTATTTTTCTCATTTAACACTGAAAATGCTCAATTGTGCTATTTTCATGGTGAAATAAGCTTATAATTTGTCTGTGTAGAGACTGGCTCATCTCTGCCGAGTACCCCTTCGAAAAGTTACGATATTTGAAACGTGAACCTTCTCTATGATAGACGTTCTCTGTGAGTAGACAACATTAGTGAGAAGCGAGATTACTCTTTAATTACGAACAGCTGTTATCTGAAATAAGTCTGGACACATTTTATTTTCTACTTTCTCGTAATGATTGTATTTGAGTTTATTAATTTGAGTTAGCGAATGTTGTCTTTATGCACTTCTTTTCCATCCACTAGGACAGTTGAACCTAAATCCTGTTGTACTGCTCTTTCAACATATGTATTGGTTATTTTAGTACCTCTTCGTACCTAACTTAATACAAATTTTTTGACCTGGGAAGAATTTTCTATCCTTCCGGTTTATATTGTGAATCTCACTTTGTTGGTTCTGAACTTTTAGTAAAAGCTCTCGAATTATCTCTTTCTCAGGTGTTGGTAAAGAAAATATAACATCTATCTGCCTTCGGTGGATCGTTGAATGGATTGAGTTGTTATATTTTGTAACTGCTACCTGCATTAACTCTTTTATGTCCGTAAGTCCATTTTCCTGTTTTACTGTTCTAGCAATTTCGCTAAGTGTAGAGTGAAATCTCTCAACTTGTCCATTTGTATTGCTATGCATTGCAGGTGCTGTGAAGTGCGTCATATCAAAATTGTCTCGAATGAGTGACTTTATTGTTTGAGAGCAAAATGTTGCTTTAATATCTGTGACTAAAATGTTTGGGTTTTTGAAAATTCCTAATATCCTAATTATTGGTACTTTTAAATCTACAATTGAACGAGAATGTATGGGTTCAATGAATGCAAACTTTGAAAATTTATCCAAGCACGTCAAAAAATATTGGCCATTTGTACTGTATATATCCATGTGCAGGATTTCCTCAGGGTAAGTGGGTTCTGTAGCGATTGCTTCAATTTGCTCACTTTCGTTTGGTAAGTCCATAACCAAGTTTTCTGTGTGTTTGAAGCGAACCGATGGAAATAGTTCTACAATCTCATTTTGTATTTTTCCTAGCACAGTGAGTGGGCAATGAATACCATTAACAACATTTGCATTAATAGCATCCTTTAGTAAATGATGCTTATATCCAGGAAACGGAGAAGTTACTACACGGTCAGAAGATTGCGCTTCTGATAAAACAATTTGATTTCTAAAACTATTGAAAGTTGTTGGTACGATCCGAATAAGCTGCGTAAAAGAAAACTCGCTGTTTGTGCAGCATTGTGTACTGTACTGATCGGTATTATCGCATTGATTCATGTGTTGAATGTATTGCCGCGAAAGGGCATCTGCTACCACATTTCCAGTACCTGGTTTGTAATGGAGTTTGGGCGCAAATTCCTCTACAAAACTTCTCCAACGTTTTAGTTTTGTATTGGGGCTACGCGGCTGATGGTCTGTAAATATGTTAAGGTTGTTAACGCCGTACAAATAATTTCGTAAATTCTGCAATGACCAAACAATCGCAAGCATTTCTCTTTCATTAGTAGCATAGTTTTGCTCTGCAGAAGATAGTGTGCGGGATATAAAGGTTATAGGTCTTTTCTCCTGCGATAGTACAGCTTCGATTGCTACAGAAGAAGCGTCGGTGGTTAAATCAAAAGGTTTACTAAAATCTGGAAAGCAAAGAGTAACATCTTCAGATGCAAGGATTTCTTTTAGTTTATATGGCCGTTTTTTTCCCGTAATATTTCCGTTAGCGGCTTTGCAATTTTCGCATAATCTCGAATAAATCTCCTATAATATCCTGACAGTCCTAAAAAGGAGCGTGATGCCCGAAGAGCTTTGGGTTCGTCAAGTTTTAGTATGGCAAGTGTTTTATCGTCATCTGTCTTAAGGTCATTCTCGGAAACTACAAAACCAAGGAACTCTACGCTAGTTCTGAAAAGTTTGCATTCATCCAATGCTATTCTCATATTGGCGTCCAGCAGTTTTTTAATGATACTCTCTATATCGTATATGTGAGTCTCAATATCGGGAGCGAAAATTATTACGTCATCAATGTAAACATGACAACATACCCCGATATCTTCTCTCAATATGTCGTCTATCGCTCTCTGAAAAATACTCGGGAAAAATAATAGTTTGTAATGTATTAATTTGAACACATTCCAAAAAACTTATCTGTTCCCTGCCATTATTATAGTTCAATTATCCTGTATTTGTATTTAAAACTCCGCCAATTTGCCTAAGGAAATGAAATCCTATAATTCCATCAAAACTTTCTAGATCCTTTAAAATATAGAATTCTGTTATTGTACCAAATACTTCTATCCAACATTTTATAAACTGAAAGTTTTTTCCAGTTTTTTGATTGACGTAAGAAATTCATAATAATAATAATAATACCCATCGATTACCCTCCTCCCGCCCAACCGACGCGCGGGTCGCAATCCGCGAACGAGCGGAATTAGCCGAGTCATAAAAGGCAAGAGAGTTTTAAGCGTTGCGATCTTAAACTGCTCAGCTACAGAAATAAAAATTTCAACAGCCAAAATTAAGAATTTGGTTAAACTTTATTATTTTTAAATGTTACTTGTTAGGAGTAGATAAAATTACTTTTTTTAATGGTAAAGAGAGAATCTGTTAGATCAAATGTGCTGGAATGAGAATTGAAATCGTGACATATACGGCGGAATGGTTCGTTTAACTCGAAATTTGTTCTAGAACATTTTAAAAGTAAAGGTTTAAACTGCCTGGTAGAGCGAGCGGGAATGTTAAAATTAATATCAGACAAGAGAGATGGGCTACAGACTGACCCATTGATGAGTTTTACAAGAAATATTATATCAAGAATTTCCCTACGACTAGCGAGTGTAGGCAGACTTATAAGCTTTAAACGGTTAGTGTAAGGGTTAAGATTTAAATTGAAATCCCAATGCAAATGATTTAAGGCAAAAAGTAAAGATTGTTTTTGAACGGACTCTATTTCCTCAGAATGAACCTGATAACAAGGGTGCCATACCGCGGAAGCATACTCTAATATAGGCTTCACCAAAGATGTAAAAAGAATTTTTGTGGTAAGCGGATCTCTAAATTCTTTAGACCAACGTTTAACAAAACTTAGAGCACCTTTAGCTTTAAAAACCATGGAAGATGTGTGAAGATTAAAATTGAGTTTGGGGTCCATAGTTACTCCCAAGTCAACAAAACTGCATACTTGCTCCAACYGAAAGTTTTGTATTACGTATGAAGTAGGGTCTACAGATCTACGTTAAAAGCACATCGTTTTACATTTTTTAAGATTCAATGGCATGTCATTTCTATTACACCAAGAAACTAGGTTATTTAAGTCTGTTTGCAACTGACATCTTTCACTATTTGATGTGAATGATTTAAAAAGTTGTACATCGTCAGCATATAATAAAACGTTTGAAAACTTAACAACAGATGATATGTCATTAATAAGTAACAAGGACAGAATTGGTCCAAGATGGCTACCTTGAGGAACACCTGAAGGAACATTGATTATGTCGGAAAGAGTATCGTTAAATATGACTTGTTGAATTCTATTACTAAGATAAGAAGCAACCCATGGTTAAATACATAATTTTTCGCTGTTCCCGTGTCAATAAGTAACTTAAGTTCTTTCCCATTACGTATTTTAATTAACACATACGGCAATTGAGAATTGTTATTTAAAAATTTAGTGCGACTATCCTTGGAAGTATTCTTCTTTCTTTCACTTTCATATATTTGGTAATGATTCACATGTTGACCACAATTATTTTGTCTATTATTATTACTATTACTATGGTTTTGTCTTTGGGGATTTCCTGATCTTGTTCTATAGTTAGAACGATTGAAATTTATTAAACGCGTTTGCTGCCTATTATTATGCGCGTTGTTTAGCCGAGAAAAGCTGGGATCAACATCCATAGGCTCTGGTTGTGGTTGTGACAAGAATGTCCTTTGATGATTATGTGCCGTGTGATATTAAGGATGAGACATTCGGTAAGAACCACTGTTTCAATTTGCGAATGCGTTAGCAAATGTATTGCGTTGTGGATTCATTTCTAATTCTTGTGCTAAGGCTAAAGCGGTTGTTAAATCTGCCGGGCGACTTGAAAACAAATTATCATTAAGGGGTCGATTTAACCCTGAAATGAAAACACGTAAGGCATCATTCCTATACTTCTCATTAAGAAGTTTCAAGGCTTCTCTTTCCCCGTTGTATTGCATAACTGCTTTATTTGTTAGGAGTGCCAGATGCTTCTCTACTGAATCGTAATAGTCCGTAATGGATCGTCTTCCCTGTCGCAAAGTGGAGAGTGCTTGCTCTAGAAGATATAACGGTCTTTTGTCCGAGTATGTTTGGTCAAGCCTTGCTTTTATAGCATCAAAATTCATCGAGTCCAATATCGCATTGGATATTTGTATCTACCTCTATGTCCTCGTACCTCAAAACTTTTGGTGGAGAAACATTTAAACTCAACGCGTCAAAATTAGCTTGCACCTGCCAAATCGGTTCAAATACGCGCTGTTCCAGCTGATTCGCTACAGTTGTAGTGATTTGAGTAACCAAATCGGTAATGGCTTCTGCGGTTAACGACATTTTACACCTATTTCTTTCGCTTGTCACAAATGTTGTTTATTTTCACAAAACTTGGATCTTATTCCTAGCGTACAATTTCAATTCCCTTAGATATTAGGTATGCCTACATTAAGTACAGCTTCATGTCCCGTTTTCCTGGCGTGGAATTGTTGATTTCCTTTTTTTCCTCCAGATTGTCCTTGGCGTGGGATTTTTGACCTCTTTTTTCTTCCCGATGCACGATTTTTCGACTTCACTTGATTTTTTTTGTAGGGGGTTCTTCTGCTGTTCTATTATCCTGACATAAGGATTTTGGGAACAGACTTACAAAAACTCGCTGGGCGCCAATTAAATAAATGATTATACGCGGTGTTCTGCGCTCAGTGGTCAATTTATTCTGTTGGTTCTTTTTCAAACTACTTCTATTTATACTTATGCTAGTACCGACGCGCAGGTCAGTTGTTTTCCATCTTATGTGTACCTATCTACTTCTAACAATGGGAAGGGAAATATTTATGGTTTTGGGACTATTTGTATTTACATTCTATTGTTCTGATTTTTACTGATAATCACAAGTATTTGTACACATGTGTGACGATCTATAACTAGTACTTATAACTGTACATAAATATTTATGTTTTCTCAGCTGAACTTAGGTTCCTTATTACACGAAGCAACTTTTGTTGCGGTAACTCTTGGTTTATAGGCGGCGAGGAGAGGAGAATCGCGCCGAGTTTTCAGTGAAATGAAATTAATATTTTGAATATATTTAAAAAATTTAATTTCATCTCTTGGTACGTAATTTGCAAATATGTGTACAAATATACATAATATAATATAAATATTTAGAAAATGGAGTATGACGAAAAAATCGAATTAATTAAAGATATTATGAAATGTATGGAGGAAGTAATACAAATTGATTCAGACGATAGTGAAGATCTGTTATATAACCTTTGTTTTAGTTTTGAATTATAAATAAAATGTATTTCTCAATTGACAAAACTGATTAATAAATGTGATAGAGTGGCCCAAATACCTATAAGGAAAAAGAAACGACAATGGGTTAAAGTAAAGAGTTGACAATGGGCTAAAGTAAAGTGAAAGAGAATGAGAAAAAACTCGAACAGAGTTGCGGAACACAAGTTGCTCGTGTGAATGCAATGGGCAACAGCAAAACAGAATCGCCCGAAAATCAGCAACAAAAGTTGCTTCGTGTAATAGCCGAGTAGGTTGTAAACAATCTATCTGTACCTGTCTATAACTAGTACTTATAACTATACATAAATATTTATATTTTCTCAGCTGCACTTAGGTTATAAACAATGTATCTGTAAACATGTCCATATAACCAAATAGATGTTTAACTGTCTATAACTTATGTACTCTGCATGTGGTGTATACATGAATTTGGATAAGAAATTGTATAAATAAAGGAGCTCTGGGCAACTAGAATTGAGTACAGTTTTATAACCGAACCCTTAGCGTTGTTATTTACAGCAATAAACTATAGTTTTAGTTATAAGTTGACAAAATTTTAGGCATATAGCTTTTATAATAAGAAAGTTACGGTGTTTTATATGGTGAGTACTCCATACGTGACTTGGGGCACTCAGCGCCCATAATATTTATTCATATATTTTGTAGGAAGCGTMATTTTCTAACGGTATTGATGATTATTATGCATTTCTAATTAGTTTCGCGTAAAATTTTCAAGTGAATAGTTCATTTTTAGTTGTGAAAATTATATTTTTTTTTGAAATGAGTGAAGAGTTGGAGATTTATTTGGGCAACTTACAGCGTGAATTAACGGAAGAAGATGAGATATTTCAAATTTTTAGAATTCTAATAATATCGATGATGATGGTGGAAGAAAACCTAAATTTGGTGGTGACCACGAATCGATACCCAGTAACCGGTCCGGCTTCAGAGATCATAATGCTCAGCCCATTAGAGATCTACTTTTCGAAGAATATACCCGAACGAAAACATATTTGATTTGTCAAATCCGGTAATTGAGGGTAATTGTGAAGAAAACTATTGGAAACAATCATACTGTATGGTGGTCAAAGCCAAGGCAACGTGAAAAACGGCGATCGGAACTGGCGTTGGTAATGCGTAGACAATCAACATCACTATTCATTGAAAGTATAGGATCTAAAAGCGATGCCTTCATACGCGTCTTCCCAGCGTCTATYGTTGAAGGTATTGCTCTTGAGACGAACAGGAAAGCTAAAACAATAATAGAGGCAAATATGCATCAAACAGTTCTAAAAAAATAAGATATTGGCAAGACAGTACTGCCAAAACTATTTACATCCTTTGAAGAAGTTAACGACACATTCAAAAAACGTGCTAGTGCTTTCAACTTTTCTTTCAACAGCGAAGATGTAAATCCTGATGAGACTTTTRACAAAATACTACTTGGATTCCCTGGCAAAATAAAAACAAACCGCTTTCCCATGACACTACTTTATAATATCCTGGACTTGCGCTCAGGATGTTTGATCTTAGTCACCCTATGTGGAACCTCAATAAGTCTGAAAAGAGCAGAATATTTTTGAAAGAACTCTATGGAGCTAGCGCAGAATCAATTACAAAACCGATGCAAAACAAAAATTAATTCGACAACTTAAATAGCAATGGACTTGATAAATTTCAAACGGGTTCCCGCAGTGGTGAGATCACGCCTAGCAATATAGGTAGGCTTTCAAAATTGTTTTTATTTAAAAACTAGATCAACATTTTGAAACGGCGATGTGAAACTTGCAAAACTGCTTAGATCGATAATAAAACAACAGCAGTTTATGATCATTGCCTTATTCCGACATGCTCCAAACAGTATATAAGGACGTGTGAAAAGGGCTATTTTGCAAAATACAGTGCCAAAGCTGGTACAGACTCAGACAATGATGAAGATCGGACAATACTCCAACAACGTTTACACCCAATCAAAAAGATAGCGAAGAATTTCATTGATTTAAGCACTTCGTAATTAAAAATTTTCATATTCTTAAATAAAAATAACTTTGTTTCTATCATTAAACACAAGTTTCATTAAATTATTTCCATTAACAAACGAAATATTGGCGTTTCTATAAAAAATATGTCCAAAATACATTASTGGACACTGCGTGCCCAAGTGACGAGATTAAGTTGTATAGCTATGTCACGGTTCTAAGGTTAAATCAATCGGTAATAAATATTATGTCAAGAAAGCATAATTCTTAAAACCCATAAGCGCCAGCGCCTGCGCCTTAACAGCAGAAGCAAAACAAAAATATAAAAAAATCCCGAGTGTGTTTGTTCTACAGCGGCAATTGGCCAAAAACCAGCTAAAGAAGCTGTTGTGTATTGTTACCGCTTTAGTTGTGTTTCCACTTCAGCCAGATTTCACTGTTCAAGTGCGGGTGAATATTTTAGTTTTCTTTGTTGTGTTGTTCGCTCGCTCGTTTTTTGTTTTGTCTGTTGTTAAAAGTGCCACAAGCAATTACCATATTTAAATTGGCTTATACATTTGCAGTCATTTCAAGCGTAAACGCCGAGACCTGATCGAAAACTTTGTAACTGTAAATTCATTAATCAAGCCAACAAATCGAATATGAAGGTGTTGGCATCGCT